TTGGCGGGGGGCACAGGGATTGAACTCAAGGGAACTTTACCACTGAGCCACATCCCCAGCACTATTTGTATTTTATTTAGAGACAGGGTCTCACTGATTTGCTTAGCACCTTGCTGTTGCTGAGGCTGGCTTTGAACTTGAGACCCTCCTGCCTCAGCTTCAGAGATTACAGGCATGTTTCAGGAATTGCAAGTGTGCACCATTATGTTAGGAATTTTTAAGGCATCATTTTAAAAAAATGAAAATTAACTTTATAAGATCACTTTTATGGGAGGTATAATGCCTAAGACCTACCTAAGACATGAGGAAACTATGGTCATTATACTTAAAAAGATTAGATGTGCCAAAATCCTTTATCTTTGCTTTACATGATGTTCTAGCTGATATCTGACAAGCCTCTTAAAGTTTTTAAATAATGCTTTTAAACAACTGTAAACAAAAGTTGGATATTCTTCTGAATAATTTTAGTGTGAAATTCAGAAATATATTCCAATACCTGCATGTCAGCTCTCCTGCCTAAAAATTTGATAGTAGATCATATCACCTAGTAGAAACAAAACACAAAAGGTTATTTTTCAGGAGGAATGAAGACTTTCAAACAATTTGTAATGTATCCAAAGTCAGTACTAGCTATTGTGTTTAAATTTTCTCTTATTCATAATGAAATTTTTTAAAGATTTCTGATTTAGTACAATTCTTTCATCAAATATCAATTATATGCAATACATTCATTTAAATGTTAATAAAATTAAGGTAAAAATAATAAGTTGAAATCAGCTTACCAAAAAAAAAGAATTTTTAATGCTTTAAATATGTCTAGAATTATATACTGAAGAAATGAAGATGAATCTAAGCAAAATTTGAATGACTTTTAAATTCTAAATTCTGCTCATTGCTATTACCTTCAAAACATGGTTGTGGAGTAATTAATATTTTAGCTAATGTTTCTCCCAGCCATTAAGGTAGGCAAAAGAAAGAATATGGCCCATTTAGATAGAGAAGAGACCTATGAATTGTATAATTTAAAATAAAACTCAAAATGGGTACAGAAGTAACTATTTGAGAAGAAGAAAATGAGGAGAACTTGGCACTAAAAGACCTTAAAAATTTACATGAGATCAAAGCAAATATTCCCCCCCTTTTACTTTTCTCTCATAAATCCATGAAGTATGAAAAAAAAGATTTCAGAGCTTCTAAGGAAGACAAATACAACTGAGAATATATATTATTGTTAATAAAAATGGCCTGCAGATCTAAGAAAATACTTAAAAGTGATTCCTAGCTCTTAGACTCTGAGACTCTGGAAAGATAATAGCCAGTACTGCCACAATGAACATATACTAAGGCAAAATGTTCAGCTTAAAATAAAGGGGGTTAATTATGTACACATTTTAACACTCTGTAGAGAATGACCATACATCCCTCTTTGTTAACGAAAGTTCCAGTTTATACTTGTTACCCAAGCTTGTGAAAGATTGCATCCATGACTCCAATTCTTCACTCTTACCTTTACTCATGTCCTTTGCTATATATCTTTGCTATCCACACTATGTGAAGCAAACCTTTCTGATCCTTGATTCTGGACTTGTCCATAAATTTACGCTGGAAAAATCAAGACTCAATGGCAGGTAGAAATGGATTGAACATTTTAATACTGAAAAATTAGGGTTCATTCAATAATTGAGATTGGATAGAAAAGCTTCAGTTTCTAAGGCCTGAGAAAGAATATTTGGCAGAACATGGAGGAAAACATCAAGCTAATCTAATACACTAAATGCCTAAAACAGGAAAATATTTTTTCTTTGGTTACCATCAATAACCAGAAAACGATAAAAGGGGAAGTGCCAAATATATCTTGTAAATTAGAAATATATCCTGATAAACTGTCTATTCCATTAGAGGATTGGATATGAAGTTCAAATTTACTGTTTTATTCCCAGTGTCTGTTATAAAGTCTGTACATAGGGCTACTCAATGAGTATATGAGGGACAAATTAGATTTTTGGAAATCATCCTTGAAGGAATGTTTATTCATTTGTGTGTTTGTACCATAAATAATTGTTGAGAAATTGTTATGTACGATGTCTATAACAATGCCCATAACAATCTAAGGGCAAAACAGTGAGCAAAATAAAAGCAGAGCTCTTCTACAGCTTATATTCTATTTCAGAAATCAGTATATATGAGATACAGAAGGTCAGATGATGCTAAGTGCTGTGGAGAATATGTACATCAATGAAACAGGATGGATATGTTGGGATGGGAAGTCCCTGCAATTTTAAAGAGATGGCTATAAAAGGTCTCAGAAAAACAAAGGACAGTATTTACATGTATGAGCCATGTAGATACTGAGAAATGAGTGTGTTATAGTCAAAATAAGGGCAGATGCAAAGGCCAGGGACAGAAGTGTACTGGGGTACTTCAGACACAGCTTTGTGGCTAGTGTGGTTAGGGCAGAATAAAGGAGGCTATTAGGTGAAGATTTCAGAAAGGTCAAGGGGCTACTTCTTGTTGGGCTGTATAGACCATAAATAGATCTCTGGCTTTTATTCTAAGTAACGTAGAAACACATTGATTTTGCCTGGAAGAGAGTATTGCATTTTGGGAAGAGCAAAGAAAAGAGTTGGAACTACAAAAGGCTTGGTTTGAAATCCTAACATCATCACTTGCTGCAGGAATTTTAATCGAATGCTTAATTCACTTTTGGAGTTTCAAGGTTTTCCCCTCTAATACATTACTGATAATATCTTCCCCATGTTAATATTGTATGGGGATTAATTGAAGAAGTAAATGATGCATATAAAAAAGATTGGTTACTCTCCTAGAATATGGCAGTTGCTTATTCATATTATTTTTCTCCCTGTAAACAACAACAATAACAAAATAACAATCTTAGGTAGGTATAACTAATGAAGCAAAAAAAGGACATTAGTTCTCAAAACAAGTAAGACAAGAACTGAAAAAACTACTGCAGAAATAGCAATAAGAAATGTGGAATTGAGGTTCTTTTAGATTGTAAAGACACTCCTGTTAACCTAATTAAGATAAAGGGACCTTAATTGGCATAAGTGAAGTTCCCAGTGATAAAATTGTGAGAACACATAGATTTGTGATGAGTGCTTCTCAGAGAATGGAACCTGAGGGCATATTGAGAGAACTGGCAGTATAATAATTGATTCTGAGAGAAATTTTAAATATAGCAAAGCCAAAAAATGGACATTAACATTCATGTCATTATTGTATATTTTCACATTATCTGTGGTTGAAATAAGGTATGTTTTAATTAATGCTTGTATCAATTTTTGTATCTGTCATTAATGGTTATGTTTAAATATTTTTGATAACTTGTAAACGTTTCCATACCAGCAGTATCTTGGCAATGACTTTATTTTCTCCTAAAATTATTGTCTTATGCAATTGACACCCTAGCTGCCCTTCCTGCACTATCCCAGGCAATATTCCAGACTCTAATGTGGAAGTTTTTCTGTTCCCTACTTGACAATTGTCACATATCTCCCTGGTATGTAAAATGAACTGATTATTACAAATAGGACTCTTCAAGTTCAAATGTCCTTGATGTGGCCCAGTTCTCAGTTTTTCCCTTGCAATAACAGGGTTAATGTTGTGGAAAAATATTTTTTAAAAATAAAACTGCAGAAGTTGCTGCTACATCAAAAATCAGCTTCGTTACTATTAAAATTATATTTAACAGAGTTGCCATATCCCAGCTTCTATTTTTCAGTTGGCTATACACAGATGTGAATCTAAAGGAGGAAGTGTGTGACTTTCATCTTGTCTTGATTATTTTATGTTGATTACAAATTATATAGATGGAAGGAATGTGAAATAAAGTGTAATGAAGGCCAAGAAAAGAAGGGAATAGCAGTTTAATAGCTGAGAAAACCAATTCTGGGATTAGTAAAACGTGTTCAAATCAAATTTCTCAACTTATTGTGTGATCTTTCTCAATTTATTTAACTTCTTCAATTCTGTTTCCTGATCCTAAAAGGATTAATACTTCTATATTGCTAGATTATTATAAAATTTAAGAAAATATAAAAACTTAGTGTTTTGAATATAGTAAACACTCAAATATCATATTTCATCAATTATATTACCTTTCTTTATAATAATAATAAGCAATCACTCAATTATTAGTAGCTGTAGAGTTGTTATTGTCTTCATTATTAAGACAATAAATAAAACAGACCCAGGTATGCTGGTCCCCAACTGTAATCCCAACTACTCAGGAGGCTGAGGCAAGGGAATGGCAAGTTTGAGGCAAGGCTGGGTAATCTACAGAGAACCTGTCTCAAAATAAAATTTCAAAACTAGCAGCAGATATAGCCCAGTAATAAATCATTGGCCTAACATGTTTAGGGTCCTGGACTTGAGCCCCAGTCACACAATAAATAAATAAATAAACAAATAAATAAAATATAATTATGATTATGATTTATTACAATTGTAATTTGTGATAGTCAATACTCACTCTTAACAAATTTCAGTGCAATTTCCCTTTGCTCCATTCCTTCTCTAGAGTCAGCAGTATGCTTATAGATGAGGAAACATTTTACCTGTGGTGCTAGACAGAAAATTTGAAGTGGAACTGGGGAAAGCATCAGGGTTGATCAATATCTTCCCTCACAGATGAGTAAGTGAATGACCAAGTCCTATGGAGGAAACCCAATCTCATTTCTCTGATTCTTGCTCATGGTCTATAGGTCATTTGTTGGTGTTTTATATTTGGAAAATCCCGGTGTGAACTTGATCAGGACATAGGTAATTAAGTTGAAGGCCTAAGCCTACGTCCCCACAAAAAAAAAAAAGTCTGAGAAGTAAAAATATTTCTGAGGGTCAAAATCCTTTCTGGAAATGCATATGCTAATTCCCTAGCTTCCCAGCTTGGCGGGGTTCCCTTTAGCAAGTAGGGTGTTTATTACATAAGCAGGTTCTTCTTGGACAGAATCTTGGGGGCATCACAAGATTCTTAAAAGAACTGAGGCATTTTTAGCCTCGAGCAGGTGGGCACAAGGACTCACTTTATCAGAGTGAGTAGGAGAGTGGACAAAATGAAAGAAAGGAGGCCCAGGGATTCTGGATGTAGGAGTAAGTGAGAGCTGGCAGGGCCTCAGAGGAATCCTGCGGACCCTGCATCTTTCTCAGCCTCCTCCACTACTGTAACTACTAGTGTATCCTGTACTGTACTGTAACCTGCCACCTTAACCACTGTTGCTGCCAAGGTAGCGATAGCTGCCATTGGTCAGGATACGCAAACGCAGAGCAGGAGTTGGTCACCAAGATCCGGCCTGCTGTGTTTAGGCCAGAGGTCCTCATGGCGAGTAAGCGGAATTGTGTAAAGGTCTATGTGCTGAAAGAAGATCAACAATGGGGCCAGCTGGGCATGGGACAAATCTCCTCAAGTTACATAGAGCGCCTCCAAAGCGTGTGTCTGCTTGTTCGGTCAGAGTCTGATGGCTCACTGATTTTACAGTCCAAGATACACCCAAACGTGCCCTATCAGAAACAACAGGGTGTGTTAATTGTTTGGTCTGAAGATGAGAACCATGGTGTGGCACTAAGTTTCCAGGATCCAGCAGGCTGTCGAGAGATCTGGGAAGACATATGCCAAGTCCAAGGTAAAGACCCAACTGTTGAAATCACACAAGATCTTTTGGATGGACCAGACCAATTTGATGAAATGCCATCAACCAGTAGTCTGGTTGAGCTGCCGAACTGTGAACTCCATACACTTGAAGAAATAGCTGATCTGTTTACTTCTGTCCTTGCTTCACCTATACGTAAAGAAAGGTTGGCACTGATCTTGGAAAATGAAGATTATATTAAAAAACTACTGCAAATATTTCACATTTGTGAGAACCTAAAGAACATTGAAGGCTTACATAACTTGCACAAAATTATTAAAGGCATCTTATTCCTCAACAAAACTCCTCTGTTTGAGATCATGTTTTCTGATGAGTGTATCATGGATGTGGTGGGATGCCTTGAATATGACCCTGCCTTGACTCAGCCAAAAAGGTATAGGGAATTCTTGACCCAAAATGTAAAGTTCAAGGAAGTTATGCCAATAAAAGACTCTAAACTTAGGCAAAAAATACATCAGACCTACAGAGTGCAGTACATTCATGATATTCTTTTTCCTATACCATCCATATTTGAAGAGAATCTTCTCTCTACTCTTACAACTTTTATTTTCTTCAACAAGGTTGAGATAGTCAGCATGCTGCTGGAAGATGATGTGTTTTTGTTTGAAGTTCTTGCACAGTTAAGGGATAAGACTACAGATGAAAATAAACGACGTGAATTATTATTTTTTTTCAAGGAATTCTGTGGGTTTTCCCAGACACTGCAGCCTCAAAGCAAGGATGCTTTATTCACAACATTGTTACAACTGGGAATTCTTTCTGCTCTTAAAATTTTAATGAGCATGGATGATTTCCAAGTAAAGATAACAGCTACAGATATTTTTGCTTATCTGGTAGAGTATAGTCCATCTATGATCCGAATATTTGTAATGGAGGAAGCTCAGGATGGTGAAGATGATGAACTTTTTATTAATGTAGTAATTGAACAAATGATCAGTGATACTGATCCTGAACTTGGAGGTGCCATTAATTTGATGGGACTTCTTCGTTCTCTACTTGATGTGGACAACATGCTGCTAGTACCCAATGAATGTGAAAAAAGTGAATTTCTAAATTTCTTCTATAGACGTTGCATGCATAATTTGATAGCACCAATTTTGTCTACCACTTCAGAAGACAGAGATGAAGAGGATTATTTATTTGGACCTGACAAAAACAAAAATTGTCTCAATAATTATCAAACAGTACAGCTGCTTAGTTTAATTATAGAACTACTCACATTTTGTGTACAACATCACACATATCACATTAAAAACTACATATTGAGCAAAGACTTGCTAAGAAGAGTCTTGATGTTGATGAATTCAAAGCACACGTTCCTGATCTTATCTGCTGTTCGTTTTATGAGAAGGATGATTGGTCTTAAAGATGAACTTTATAATCGTTACATCATCAAGGGAAATCTTTTTGATCCAGTTGTAAATGCATTTCTGATTAATGGAACTCGGTACAATATGCTAAATTCGGCTATTATTGAGCTATTTGAATATATACGAGTGGAAAATATCAAGTCTCTTGTTGCACATATAGTTGAAAAGTTTTACAAGGCTTTTGAATTGATTGAATATGTTCAGACATTCAAAGGATTGAAGATTAAATATGAACAAGAGAAAGACAGACAAAATCAAATAAGGAAGAATTTACATTCTATACTATATATTAAAATTTTTTGCAGAGATGCCAATGGCATGGAGGAGGTGAAGGCTGATATGTATTTTAAGGAAAATACCACAGATGTACTTATGCCACCAATGGAAAATGAATTTCCAGATCATTATGATACATCTATAGATACTAAAATACCAAAAGAAAATGGAGAAAAGGTAGACCTTCTCAAAAGAACATCTTCCAGTGAATTCAGAATTTCTTCATCTAGCTCTCCTGATTCTGAGGATGAAATGAGTACACCATCCAGTAGCAGTTTGGTTGGTTTAGTGGATTATCCAGATGATGATAATGAAGAAGAAGATAAGGAAGAAGATAAAGCATCCCCCAGAAAGAGACCTCATCTTGACTTATAAAACAATTATGGGAGACCCTCAACATATGCTTCAACTAAAATTCTATCAATGTCAATAAACTAAAAAGTCAATCCCAAAGACTTTCTCAGATGAACTTTTAAATATACAACAAGTAACAAAAATTATGAAGAAAGGAATTAATTCCATAAAAAGAAAACTTCCCATAATATATACATACAATGAAATAATAATCAGCACCTGAGTGATGACTTACTACAACTTGTTTATTTTTCTTTGGTTTAGGGGATAGTTTGGGAGGAGGAAATAGGTTGATGAAATATTGTCAACATAGTTATCACCCAGGAACACATATTAGAAACAACTGTAATAGTTCCATTGCAAAACCTACAATATTATTTGCAGAAAGGTTCTGGCCATGTTTTTCTTTACTCTGGCTGCATTTTTTAAAAGAAGTTTGTTTATATGGTAAACAAAGTCAACTGTAAATATTTATAGGCTCCTCCTGTGAAGATTTAAAAATAATTCAGCCTTATCAATAATTGGGGGGAAGCGGCTTACAGTATGTATTTCCATGAATATAAAATAAATCTGGATTCAAAATATGCAGTTATTATTTTTAAAGATAAGTACAAAGAAACACCCCAGTAGTATGCTCAAAGTGTTCTCTGTGGGACCTTTGGAGTGAGTAGAAGGTTGGGAAAATTGTTTTCTAATTAATTAGGTTTGTCTTTTCAGAGCAGCAGATATGTTTTAGAGTATGAGTTATAAAGACTAATATAAAAGGTAGTGCTAAGTGAATTGACATTTATTTTCCAGATGCCACTTTGGACCAAGAAAAAGTTAAGTGTCAAAGTCAGCATACAGGACCTGAAGTTTTTCCATAAACAAAGGTATAATATGAAAAATATTAAAGTGTGTATAAGTGAATTCCTAAAAATAATTCCCAACAAAGAGTTAAGAAGACTCATTTTTATTTTTAAATTTATGTATTTATATATTTTTGGTACCAAGGATTGAACCTAGGAGTGTTTTACCACTGAGCCACTTCCCCAGAATTTTTAATTAATTTTTTTGAGGACCTATTTTTTAGAGGAGCAGGTTAACTGAGTCTATTTTCCCTGGAATCATTTAAAGTGAAAAGGAGTTCTTACTGTTTTGTAGATTTTAGTGTTAATATTAATTTGAGCCATTATTTGGACAAAGGTAGGCTGTGCAGATAGGAAGTATAATTTTATATAAAACAAGTATTTATTTTATAGATTAAAATACCACTGTACTTGTTTTGTACCTATTGATATTTATATTGAACTATAAAATTCAGAAATTAAAATATAATGCTATAATTCTAAAAACAAAAGAGACCATTTTAAATTTACTATTCTGCCAATAGGAGACACAGCTTATGCAAAACTAGAAACTGCAGTGTAAAAGCTAGAAAGGGTCTATACCTAAAATAACAAACAATAATCTCATCAGATTAAAAACTTATTTCATCAGTTTAGACTGTGGACATGAACTCAGGAGGTAAAATTATACATTGGATAGGATACAACACAGCAGAAAAATTGCATTTTCACACTTCTCAAGCTATGCTAGTTAAATTAAATGCTATAATGGGATTTTTCATGTATTCATGTTGTGATTGTATGTCAAAAAAGGTGGTTTCTTAGAAAAGCATTTCACGTTTTCCTCCTGGGTAGAGTGTCATGGGGACAGTTATCCATAGTACACATAATACACTTATAGAGTTTTGTTTAATGTGTGTGTGTGTGTGTGTGTGTGTGTGTTTGTGTTTAGTATAATGAAAGCAGACCTACTTCCTTAAAAGAGCAGCTGTTTGCAACTGGACCAAGAAGAAAGATTCTATTTTGGTGCTATTTCTGTTTATTCTTTTCCTCCCAGCTAGTTTCAATCTGTTATAAAAAATGGACCCTCTAATTAGAAGAGAAAAATATAATATTTCTATATCTTGACTATTTTCCTCAGTGAGTTTGAAAGATGAGAAAAGTATATAAGTACAATGGGAATTAAAAGTGAAGAAGAAGGAAGAGGAGGAGGAGGAGGAGGGCAGGGAGGAAGAGCAGAAAGTGAGGGAGGAGGGGGAGGAATAAGAAAAATGATAGGAATTCTATTGAGCTGTATGACCTCTGTGAGCCCTTTTCTAACTTCAGCTACTTAACATCAGGAGAACAAGCAAGACAAAGAAAATGGTATAAAGGAAAATTGTCTATCATGTGGCCTAACCTACTATTAAGGGAACATTTAAGAGGGCAACAAAACACAAAAGAGCAATCCTTACTGTCTATAAAATGAGTGAAAAAGTGACCAAAGTGTTTAGATTTTTTGATGTTGTGTGGGAAAATATATAGTAAAGAATGTTTAATCCCATCTTTAATATTTTTAGAAGTAATTTACAAAGGACCCTGAAGTAGGTTATTTATGATATGGAAAGAAGAAACACTTTGAAATGGTCCTGTATATACCATAAAATCCAAGCCAGAATTTTTGGAGAAATACTCTGGACTCATGATGTTCTTGGCTTTAAACACATGATTTCTACCAATTTTTATGTTTTATCGATCTTTTAAACATACCAAAAAGGGGAGGGTGATATAACAGACAAAGCAAAAACTTCATATTCAGATAGTTCTTGATAATAATGCAAGCTCTGACTCTTACTAGTTCTATTTCCATGACATTTTCTGTGACAATTTACTTATTTTTTCCGCTAGCCACAATTTTTCCAGCTTGTCTTAAAAATTAGAAGCTATATGTAAATTACCCAGAACATATTTAGCACTCAAGAAATAACTTTTGAAACTCATTATCAGCAGTAGCAGCAGCAGCAGTATAATCATTCCTAAGAAGATGAGGTATAAAGCCAGCTATACCCTCTTATATCACTAGTTATGCTCATAAATTAAAAATCTTATATTCTAGATCAAATTGACAGCAATAAATAAATTAAAAGTTAATGAATTCAGTTCTAGTTGGTGAAGTCTTTGTGTATGCATGGTGCCCTGCTGAGACACAACTGAAATAAAAACATGAAAGTGGGAAATATAAAACCTCAGAAAACAAATGAAGACACAGGTGGAGTAGTATCTTCACCATTGGCATGTTAACCAAGAAATGAGAGATGATAGGAGTGAAAAGTAAAATTGAAATTAATGAAGTAGGAGGACAGGTGGGAAGGGAAATGAACACTTATAAAAGTGACAAAAGTCACTAACCCTTATTCCATCCATGCCTAATCACAGAAGACAAAGTAGTCAACAAGAATGTATCCCACTGGGCTTGGTGGCACACACCTATAATCCTAGCAGCTGGGGAGGATGAAGCAAGAGGATCTTGAGTTCAAAGCCAACCTCAGTAATTTAGTGAGACCCTGTCTCTAAATAAAAATACAAAAAAGGGCTGGAGATATGGTTCAATGATTGAGTACTCCTAGGCTCAATCCTTTGTACTCAAAAAAATTATCCCTAGATAATGTATCATATGGCCTTTCCTTGAAGCAACTGAAATAACAGGCAAAGCTGAGGGCCCTGGTATGCATGTTGTTGCTTCAGAGTTCAGCCTTTCTCTTTAGGGTTACTATAGTTTGGGTCTGAAATACACACCAAAATCCAATATGTTAAAGGCTTGGTATCAAGTTTGTTGCTATTGGGAGGCAGTGGAAACTTTAAGAGATGGGGTCTATTTAGAGGTCTTTGGGGACATGCCCTTGAAAGGGACATGAGATCCCAGACCTTCTCCATCTCTTTCATTTTCTACCTATAAGCTGAGAAGTTATGCCCTGACCCCTATGATGTGCTGGTTCAACAGAGGCCTAAAAGCATTGGGGTCAACTGATCATGGACTAGAATCTTTGAAACTGAGTCAAAATAAACTTTTTATCTTAATAAGTTGATTGTTTCAGATATTTTTTATAGCCATATGAAGCTAACACAAGAATGTTGGAGAATTTAAGATGCTAAGAGTTAACAACCCTCAAGGTACAAGTCACAGTGTTATAGGGAAAGACACATCTTAATCCCTGGCTCCCATCCATCTACAATTAAAAAATATTTTAAAAGATAGAAAGTCTTTTCGATGTATTGAGTCCTGATTCCCCACTCTGCAAGGGGTACCTACCTCAAGTCAGTGACACAGGTTGAGAATATTTGAGGTAAACTTTAAGGTTCATAGTTTAGCTCAGATAATTAAATGTAGTCCTTATTTTGAAAAGTGACTAGTCAATACAGTCTGCTTGTTTATCTTTGGCACTAGGGAGCATGGCATTAGTCTACTCCATGGGATAACTGGGATTGGGGCTGTGGATGACAGCAACAGGTATGTGTGTGGGGAGGTGTAGATGTTAGTACACACACATGAGGAGGAGCTAGGATTATCCCCATAGACCTCTATAAGGTAAAATGAATGTTTGTTAGAACTATCTGGTCAGTGCTGGCAGAACTAGCAGTCAGTTAAATTGTAGGTGCTTGTAACAGTTTAGGATAGCTGCACCAGAATGGATTCCTTGGTGGATGGGGAAGCTTCAGAGGAAGTTCTGATAAGGAAATTCATTAAGGCCCCTCTATCCCCTGTACAAGCCTAAATGAGTTATTGTTCTTCTTCTATCTACACAATACCTGAGTATCCCATTTCAGTAACTATAACTTTGATGTTTACTTTTTTCAATCATACTGTACACTCCACTCGTCCAAATCTTTTATCTAGAAGGAGTAGATGAAATAGGGATAAGGACATATTTATTGAAAGTAACAAAAATTAAGTTTGAATCTTGTAGGTCCCATTCTTGCCACGCTGCTACAGACAGGCTATATCAATCAGGATAGCCTGGGGAAGGCCTGGAAATGATCAGGAAAAAATTATAAATCTTCAAAATATGTCTATATAATTTCTCATTCCTTTAGTTTTGATCACTAGTTGGGAGATGACTAAGAAGGAGTGATCCTCTCCTAGGGACAGCCATATTCGGTATCCAGATTGTCTTATTCTGATACAGCCTTTTTCAACTTCCACTCTGAAAATTCTGGCCCAAACAATTTACTGTTGTGGAGGCTATGCATTGTAGCATATTTAGCAATATTAATGACTTCTACCCACTAGATGACAGCAGCACAAGCTCACTTGTGTCCATCAGAAATGTATACAGAACATGTTAAATATCTGTTTAGGGAGCAAATTACCCTCAAAAGTGACCCACTCATTTAAATATGTCTGGAATTTGATTCATGTGTTTGTTTTAGCTTTGTGGATGTTGAGTCTAATTCCTCCAGCCCAAGTCATTTTCTGTCTTTCCCCCCAAGTACAAGGCCCAGGAACATATAAGGTATATGTATTATGCACTCTCATCCTCAAGAGAATGGGCCTTACTTAAAATTATAAAGATCTTTGTTTAGAATTATAAAGATCTTTGTTTAGAATCTGGGTTCTGCCTTTTATTATGAATATAACCATGGAATCTCCTTTGACACCCATGATTCTCAGTTTTCTTTGGAAAGTATGTTCAATAACATTGTTATCACTAAATAATGTCCTACCCC